AGATGCTAACCAACCTGTCAGCCTCCAGCAGAAGCAAACTTCTATACAATAGAGTAACCTCAGACTAGTCGAGCTGTAATCAAGGGATGACAATGGCACAGGAGGAGTGCGAGCCCCATAATTGGATGGTTGCAGGTTCGAGCCACACTCAGTTTTTTGCTTTTGAGCCCTTGGGCAAGGCACTTAACCCACCTTGCCTGCTGGTGGTGTTTGGACGGACTCGTGGCGCCTCTGTCAGAGCTGTGGCTACAATGTAGCATTCACACATAGATGTGAATGACTGATTGTGTTGTAAAGCTCCTTGGGGGGTTTCAGAACTCTAGAAGGCGCTATATCAAATACAGGCCATTTACCATTTGACCTCTGAATACCCCAGAAGACCAACATTCAAGACTGGGGGCCCCAACCACTCCTCAGCCTTGTTGAGACCGACCAGCTGGATCTCCCAGGAACTCTCCCCATTGGTACAGTAGGTTCTGCACACTGGTGTTGGATGGGTTATGACTAACTGTAGGGATGTTCCCATCACATTGTTTTGCTCCCGATCCAATTCTGAGTCATTTGATTTTGAGTGTCTGCCGATGTCGAGTCCCGATGCAATACTTTCAGAAAAGCTTTAAAATATGAATTCAAAAAGACATTTTTTTAGCAAAGCATTAAAATAAGAGCAAAAAAAAAAAGGGGGGGGGGGGGGGTCAAGAAAGAATTAAAATAAGAAGAAAACATCCAAATTGTCCTTTAAGTTTCACTTTCATTTATTTAGGAAGAACGCCGACTAAAACTTGTTTTCATTGTGAATATACTTAAAAGTTGCAGTGTTGCTCTTATTTTAGATTTTTTTTTCAGATTCAGATTTCAGATTTATTGGCCAAGTAAAATTACATTTACAAGGAATTTGTCTTCGGTAGATGTTCACTCTCTAAAACATACAACAACCATAATAAATGAAGAATAAAAATACCTAAAAACACATAAGAACATGTATACCCACACACATGTTCATTTACACACACACATATATACATACACACACACACGCACGCACAAACACACACTCACGCACACACACACACACATACATAAGCATACTGATTAAGTATTAAAAACTATAGTAAAAGGAAGGTAAAAGAATCGACAGATTCAGGAGAGAAATGGCTGAAGGAAAGAAACTGTTCTTGTGTCTGGTAGTTTTTGTGTACAGCGATCTATCGCGTCTGCCAGATGGGAGGAGATGGAAGAGAGTAGATGCAGGATGTGTGGCATCTTGGACAATATTCCCTGCCTTTTTCCTGCTCCTGCTGATGTACAGTTCCTGGACAGAGGGCAGTTGGGCACCAATGATTTTTCCTGCTGTTTTAATAATACGCTGTAGTCTGCATTTGTCCATTTTTGTGGCTGACCCAAACCAGACAGTGATGGATGAGCAAAGTATGGATTCGACTGCAGCAGTGTAGAAGATGATCAGCAGCTCTTGTGGTAGGCCATACTTCCTTAGTTGCCGTAAGAAATACATCCTCTGCTGAGCCTTTTTGAGGATGGAGTTGATGTTTGTTTCCCACTTCAGATCCCTGGAAATGATAGTTCCCAAGAACTTGAATGAGTCCACCATTGACACTGGGCTGTTGGATATTGTGAGGGGGGGCAGCACTGTGGGAAGCTTTTAAGTTGTTTACTCCCTCCATATGCAGCTGTGAACCATGTTCACGTGAAGGAGCAGGGTGGCGGAGCCTTCGGCAGGCAGGATAACTTCTTTGCATAACACCAGTATCTCCAGCGCGTAGCACAGGGGTCAGGGTCCAGCTAGCTGCAGGGCGGTGCTGCAGGAGAACTAGAAACCTCGATGTTCTGCAGTATGTTAGCAATTTCTCTTTGTTTATTAGCGTATCTTTCTCTGTTGGCTGGCTTTGCGTTTTTGTCCAACTTCACTGTGAACTGTGACTGTTAGAGGTAAACTTGGGATTAATGGAGACCGGTGATTTGCTTTGTTGATGCCCGAAGGGAAAAGCCGAAAAGCAAAAGTAGCTTGGTCACATTTGGCCTTTTTAACCTCCAATGCGTTTCGGCAATGTAGCCTTCGTCAGGGTGCCTCCATTGTTACGGGGCCTTACGGCGGCCGACCAGAGCTATGGCCATAGGGTCGTTCGTGCCTCTTGCGTCGGCAACCCCCGGAACCCACTTGTGGAAACCGGCGGTTAGGGATGCTGTCAAGCTGAAGAAAAGTTCTATCAGGTCTTTTTGGCCTGTGGGACTCCAGAGGCAGCTGATAGGTACCGGCAGTCCAAGCCGAATGTAGCTCAGATGGTCACGGAGACAAAAACACGGGCATGGGAGGAGTTCGGTGAGACCATGGAGCAAGACTTCCGCATGGCTTTGGGAAGATTCTGGTCCATCATCTGGCACCTCAGTAGGGGAAAGCAGCGCACTACCAACACTGTTTATAGTGGGGACGGTGTGGATCGGTGAGCGGAATACTTTGAAGACCTCTGTAATCCCAGGAGCTCATCTTCCAGTGAGGAAGTAAAGCCTAGGGACTTTGGGTTGGACTCTCCAATCTCTGGGGCTGAGGTCACTGAGGTGGTTAAAAAGCTCCTCTGTAGCAAGGCTCCGGGGTGGATGAGATCCGCCCGGAGTTCCTTAAGGCTCTGGATGTCAGTGTTGGTTGACGTGGCTTTGCAATATCGCGTGGACATTAGGGGCGGTTCCACTGGACTGGCAGATCGGGGTAGTGGCCTCCTATTTAAAAAGAGGGGCCGAAGGGTGTGTTCTTACTACAGGAGGATCACACTCCTGAGCCTCCCTGGTAAGGTCTATTCAGGGTTCTGGAGAGGAGGGTCTGTCGGATTGTCGAACATCGGTTTTAGGAGTAGCAGTGTGGTTTTTGTCCTGGGCGTGGAACACTGGACCAGCTCTATACCCTAAGGGAGATCCTGGAGGGTGCGTGGGAGTTTGTCCAACCCATCTACATGTGTTTTGTGGATTTGGAGACGGCGTTCAACCGAGTCCCTCAGGGGCTCTCTGGTGGTGGTGGGGGTACTTTGGGTGTATGGGGTACCACACCCTCTGTTGAGTATGACCGGTGTCAGAGCTTGGTTCTCATTGCTGGCAGTAAGTCGGGCTCATTCCCAGTGAGAGTTGGAGTCCGCCAAGGCTGCCCTTTGTCACCGATTCCGTTCATTATTTTTTGGACACGATAGGTGCGGCCAATGTGTTGCATTTTGGTGGCCTGAGGATTGGATCTCTGCTTTTTGCAGATGGTGTGGTCCTGTTGGCTTCATCAAAACGTGATCTCTGGCTCTCACTGGAGCGGTTTGCAGCCGAGTGTGAAGCCTGCTGGGAAGAGAATCAGCTCCTCTAATTTCCCGGATCGTTCCGGAGTTTTCTCATGATTTTTAAGAAATCCGTAAAAGTGATTGTCTTATTATCTACTGTGATATAATTTAAGCAATACGTCTTTATTTTTATATTTTTTTGCTTAGCACACCCCCTACCCCACAGAGCTCTGTGCAATAGGAAACTGAGCACTGACCAGAACTAACCAGTAGCGTTACCCCAAAATTCCACTATCTCTGCTCCGCTGCGCTCCGCTCCGGCACGAACTCCGCGGCAAAAACGGTCCCATTGTAGTCAATCAGAGCTGTTCAACTACTGCGGCTGTGCGGCGCAGTGCGTCGCCCGCCGTTCCACCATCCGGCAAAAATAGAATCGATCCTATTTTCGCCGGACGCCGGAGCACCTCCGCAGTCAATGGACAGAAATCACAACCGCCCAACAGGAAAGGGAGCAAGCACAGCTTTCGTTATTTCACAATAAATCGATAAACAAAAGGCGTTTTTTGTTTCATATGCACAGGTTTAACAACTTTTAACAACTATCAATGGCGGCTGAACTTTAAATGCACAAAAGTAAGCCATAAATACAGTTTCCACTATCAAAGTAGTCACACTTTGTTGATCCAAGCACTGCTGATCTCTCAACACAGATGATGGGCAGATTAAACAGTTCATGTCGATGCTTCTCCCACACAACGGGTGTTTGGATCTAACTTCCGCGTTTATTGCTCGGACTGTATCGCAAGATCTCGAAAATCCCGCGCATGCCTGTTTGCGCACCTCAGGTCTCCGCACCGGAGCGGAGCCGTTGTAGAGCGGGTACCAGAATGATTTGAGTTCAGAAGCGAGCGGCAGCGGAGGGCGGGGGCGGAGCGGAGGTAGTGGAATTTTGGGGTTAGACTACCGTTTACATGCTTCAAATTTAAGGAATACCTCAGCTGATGCAGAGTTGATGAACTTTTCATGGATAAGTGTTTAAAATATAAATATATCAGAACACAACATGAGAATAAAACTTGTAAAAACAACGTGTTTTTTAGCTGTTTGTCGGCCACAGACGCACATTTATAAACAAGAAACGTGAAGTCGCCATCTTAAAAAGACAGAGAAACTATTTGTGTGATATACTTGTCAGCCACTAGATGGTGCCATCGGATAAGAGAAATACTCCGAAAAGAGACTAAGTAGAAAAAGGGTAGAACACCTTCTGCAGGTCAGGGATGAGGTCCTGCCCCAAGTGGAGGAGTTGAAGTATCTCGGGGTCTTGTTCACGAGTGAGGGAAAACTGGAGCGTGAGATCGATAGGTGGATTGGTGCTGCATCTGCAGTGATGCGGGCGTTGTACCGGTCTGTCGCGGTTGATCTACATTCCCACCCTCACCTACGGCCACGAGCTTTGGGTAGTGACTGAAAGAACATGTGTAATATGTGTGCTAAATGTGTATTTGTGACAAATGGTTAACTTTAGGGTGACGTGCCACAAATGTATGTTCTTAAAACTCACAGCTGCTCAGCAAAAACAAAGTCGTCCAGTCTCTAAACGTCCGGACTCTGGAACCAAACATGTTCTAAATACGCTTCGTGGAACACCCCCCTGAAGTCCTCATAGCTTCAAACCCACCAAAACAAGAGCTAGTGTTAAAATGTGAGGGAAACATGGAAGTGTGTCACCTTTGTAGATGTCGTACGTGTTGATGCCATCTGAAGCCTTCATCAGAGGACAGTCCTGCTCAGTGGGACAGTGGAAGAGGAGGCAGTTCTCATCAGCAGCATGTCTGACGGACTTGAACACAGCCATGTTGCAGCGAAGACCTTTAAAACACACAAAGTCTCTATTCAGCAAGCGTCTCTCAGGTGGAAATCAAAGAGCACTACCGTCCAATGAAGGCTACGATACAACATCACCTGTTGCTTCCTGCTCACCTGGTCTGATCTCCTCGGAGCAGCAAGCGAGGACACAGTCCCTCTCCGAGTGGACCACCCGGGTGTTCATTGCCGTCCTCGCTTGGCTCAGGGCCACCCTGACGTTAACGGTGGCGCTCTGGTGCTGCCTGGAGAAACACGTCTCTGATTCTGCTGCTGAAGTAGGAAGTGACATCATCATCACAAGTGTAGTGGCAGAGGCGAGAAGCCCGATGAAGCGCGAGCGCTGGCGAACAGCGTGAGAAGTCATGGTGCGAATCCAAAATGCCAGAGTGTTGAGACGGCCTCAGACGTTCTGCAGAAGACAGACATGTAGTCAGTGGTCTCCAGTCCCGGTCCTCCAGGGCCGCCGTCCAGCTGGTGGAGTCAAGCAGCTGTTAGCCAATCAAATCAGTGTCTGAACCAGAGGAGCGGCGCAGAACCACGTTTAAAACATTCTGATGGTTTTCCTCTTCAAACGTTCGTCTCCGTGTCCCCGATCTGTCCCGCTCAACAAAGGGACTTAAATTAGAACCCGCTCCGCTGGGACGGCAGGAAGTTAAAAATAAACGCCCATCCTCAGAAGGAGGAGGAGGAGTTTATTTATAGGTTTCATGAAGGAGGTCAGAGAGGAGCAGAATCAGAACCTCTGATCCGGTCCACCAGAATCACAGATCCGGTCCATCAGAACCACCGATCCGGTCCTTCAGAACCACCGAACCGGTCCTTCAGAACCACCAATCAGGTCCATCAGAACCACAGATCCAGTCCATCAGAACCGCCGATCCGGTCCTTCAGAACCACCGAACCAGTCCTTCAGAACCACCAATCCGGTCCATCAGAACCTCTTATCTGGTCCATCAGAACCACAGATCCAGTCTGTCAGAACCATCATCCGGTCCATCAGAACCACCGATACGGTCCATCAGAACCACCGATTCAGTCCATCAGAACCATCATCCGGTCCATCAGAACCACCGATACGGTCCATCAGAACCACCGATTCAGTCCATCAGAACCATCAACCGGTCCATCAGAATCACAGATCCAGTCCATCAGAACCACCGATACGGTCCATCAGAACCACCGATTCAGTCCATCAGAACCATCATCCGGTCCATCAGAACCGCCGATCCGGTCCTTCAGAACCACCGAACCAGTCCTTCAGAACCACCAATCCGGTCCATCAGAACCTCTTATCTGGTCCATCAGAACCACAGATCCAGTCTGTCAGAACCACCGATCCGGTCCATCAGAACCACCAATCCGGTCCATCAGAACCACGATCCAGTCCATCAGAACCACCGATCCGGTCCTTCAGAACCACCGAACCGGTCCTTCAGAACCACCAATCAGGTCCATCAGAACCACAGATCCAGTCCATCAGAACCACCAATCAGGTCCATCAGAACCACAGATCCAGTCCATCAAAACCACTAATCCGGTCCATCAGAACCACCGATCTGGTCCATCAGAACCACTTACCTGGTCCATCAAAATCACAGATCCGGTCCTTCAGAACCTCTGATCCGGTCCTTCAGAACCTCTGATCCAGTCCATCAGAACCACCGATACGGTCCATCAGAACCACCGATCCAGTCCATCAGAACCACCGATCCGGTCCTTCAGAACCACCGAACCGGTCCATCAGAACCACCAATCCGGTCCATCAGAACCACTGATCCAGTCCATCAGAACCACCGATCCGGTCCTTCAGAACCACCAATCAGGTCCATCAGAACCACAGATCCAGTCTGTCAGAACCACCGATCTGGCCCATCAGAACCACCGATCCGGTCCATCAGAACCACCGATCCGGTCCATCAGAACCACTGATCCAGTCCGTCAGAACCATGCTGGTTAATCTCAGAGTGAAACAGTTTTGAGAACCAGATTGAAGTGAACCGATCCCAGGAGGATGCCGGTTCTGATTGGATCTGGCGGAACGCTTCATCTCATCAGCAGAAACAAAGTTTTTAGAAAATATTTTTGCTTTACTTACTTCGAGGAGTTTCTGTTAAAGTGGAAACAGTAAAAGCAGAAAAAAGTCTCAGAACAAAAAGAACCAGAACTCACCGGGTCGCCGTGTTACCAGAACTCCATCAGAGGCTTGGCAGCTCTTTGGGTCCACGGTCCACTCGCCAGAACTTTGGCCCGTCTCCTACAGGGAAATGGCGCCGTTAACGGATCTTATCAACAGCTGATAATGAACCGCACCTGGTTCGTGACCCAAATGCGCTGCTGTCATCGGCTGAAAGCTGCTTCTGAGCAAACTTCCACTTCAGAGACCAGAAACACAAAAACAGATTCATTTTTCAGGTTTTATATGTTTTTGATGCCGTTTGTCAGCCAAGCTCCTCCTTGTGCACTCAAGGGTGACTGATGCTCATCGATCATCTATCTGGCACTCAGAAATCTGACTTTATTTTCTGTCCCTGAATGCTTCACAGCTATGCAGTAATGATAAAGTCTGACGTCTGCCATGTTGCTTTTGAAACCCCACTTTGAACACCTGGGCCATGGGGCTGAAAGCCCCGCCCACTAACAACAACCAAAGTTTTTCAATAGCTAATTCCAGCCGAAAGTGTCGGAAACATGAAAAGCTGACGGTTCTGGAGGACAGGAGCAATACTGGAGACGACCTTAGGTGGATTTTTAGTTTAGCATCAGGAAAAAGTCAGATTTGTTTAGGGCATAGATGTGTAGAACGTGGGTAAGCTTTTTGGGATCCGCTCTGACTTTCAGGTTTGATGTTAAGGTAACCATTTTTAAGAACTGAGGCTGTTCTGTTTGGATTTTTTCTGCAGAGACAAACTTCAGGCATGTGATGGGGGGCGGGGGGGGGGGCTGAAGCCCCCAAACCTCTGATGCTAGAGTCGCCCCTGGCCAACATGTCCGCTGTAGCTCCTTTCCTGCTTTTTGGAGGTTTTCCAATGACAGAAGCGTTCAGTCTGCTCTGATTGGTCAGCTCCAGTGTCCTTCTTAGGCCCCGCCCCCAAATTCAGATAATTTATTCAGAAATAAAAATACTTAATATTAAAAAGTGAATCGCGTCTTTTTGCGTTTGGAGTATTAACGCATTTTAATAAGAAACCAGAGAGGCGGGAGGACGCAGGAACCCGGTTCTAAGGGTTCTACAGGGGCGGGAACAGCTGGACTCCGAACTTTAAATTAAAACAAACCCAAACAGGAACCATTGTACTTCTTATCAGAACCTCTCAGCTGACACCGGTACCGGTCCAGCTGCCTCAACACGTCTTTACCGGTTTTACTGGAGACATTCTGTGTTCCGGTTCTACCTGAACAATCACCGACGAATCCGCCTAATTGGGCCGGGCCTGCATCGCACTCCGGCGTTCAGACGAGTCGGTGTTGGGCTGGAAGCTCCGTTTCAACCGAACCGGGTCAGTCCCAGTTACCTGCGAACCCATCCCAGGAGGACATGATGAAGACCAGATAAAACCAGCAGACTTGTTCTTTTAAATAAACCGGAGCTTCTCCTGGACGGAACCGGAACCAGCGGGGAGAAGTGGACACATGTCGGCGGTTAGAGAGCCCGAGACGCGGCTGGGTTCTTCCTCTGGAGGAGGAGGAGGATGGTGATGGAGATGCTGAGGAGGAGGAGGAGGAGGTGCCGCTGCTGACCCATTTAGTCTTTGTCCTCCGGATTCGGAAGGGGGAGGGACGACACGAACCACATCCGAACAAAACAAATCCTGAAATCCGATTTCGGCTCAAAGACCCAACAGAACACGACTCGGAGGCTCCGATCCAAACATAAATTAAAAGAGAAAGAGACGCGTCTCCAGAGTACGGAAGCCTGTTGGGGTCCACTTCAGAGGTAAATATGAATAATGATTTATTTACTGTTTCATAATTTAAGAAAATCACAGGAAAACCTCCAAACATTTGATGGTACGGAAGCCCATTAGTGCTACAGAAGAAACGTTTTTTATGCAGCGCCTCTCAAAATAAAAATCACCAGCCGTGTCACTAATGTTTTTTAAAGAAATCGTAAAAAAGTTGGGGAAAAGGAAAAATTAAAAAAGCAAAAGAAGAAAAATGAATAAGAAAAGGTAATACGTGATCCCGGGAAAGATGAAGGTCCCACCAAAACCTGAACAGGTGACTTTAAAGGAGACCACTGAGTCCACTGATCTCAGGCTCAGGGGGAGAGAGGTCCAGAGTCTGGGGGCCACAGCAGCAGATGATCTGTCACCTTTGACCTTTAGCCTGGTGCTGCACAACCAGTAGGCTTTGGTCTCTGGACCTCAGGGACCTGCTGGGGGTGTAGGGACTAAGAAGATCACCAATGTAAGATGGTGCTTGTCCATGTAAGGCCCTATAGACCAGAACCAGGATCTTGAAATGAACCCTGAAGTTGACTGGCAGCCAGTGAAGCTGGAGGAGAAGCGGGGTGATGTGGGTGTGTTTGGAGGACTTGGTCAGAAGCCGAGCACAGGCGTTCTGAACCACCTGTAGACGGTTCAGGGAGGTTCTGCTCAGACACGTGAAAAGAGAGTTACAGTAGTCTAAGCGTGAGGAGATGAAGGTGTGGAGAACTGTCTCAAGTTCAGAGCGGGACAGAATGGGACTCAGCTTAGCAACGTTCCTGAGATGGAAGAAGGAAGAGCCAACAAGAGAACTGACATGAGAATCCAGGGTGAGAGCTGGGTCAAAGGTCACGCCAAGATTCCTGTCAGAAGGTTTGGTGTGGGAAGCAAGCTGACCAAGAGAGTCTCTGACTTTGGGAACCAGCTTGTCTGGGGCACAGATGAGGATCTCAGTCTTATCTTCATTCAGCTGTAGAAAGCTCCCACCATCCAGGTTCTGATAGAGTCTAAGCAGGTGTGTAACAGCTGCAGCTTAGACATCTCATGGGGCTTAAAGGAGATGTACAGTTGGATGTCATCTGCATAAAGATGGTAGGAGATTCCTTTGAAGGAGCTCAGGATGTGCTGAAGAGGAAGCAGATAGAGGAGGAAGAGCAGAGCCCCCAGCACAGAACCTTGTGGGACACCATGGGTAAGAGAGGTGGTGGAGGACCTAAACTTGGAGACGGCCACAGAAAAGGCGCGCTCAGAGAGATAAGAGGAGATTCCTTTAACCCTTTGATGCATAATGGTCACTACAGTGGACAGTTACTCAAAATTGATATTTGTTTTTGCTATTAAGCACAGCTGTTGAAGACTATTGCATTTGGGCCCCTCCATGTGGACTTCAGTAAGCCAAGCCGACATATTTCATGCTCAGAATGCACGCTGTCCACTGAAGTGGACATAAATTATTTGTAAATTATAAAATTTTACAAAAAATATTTGTTGAAATTTGTTTAATTCACACTTTAAGACGAATGAAAAAAAAGTTAAAAAAATCATGGTTGAAGATTTCATAATTCATGCATCAAAGGGCTAAAACAATGCAAAATTAAGGGACACAGTGGGGCGGGGCACCAAATAGAAAATGTACAGTTATCGAAATTTCTGATTCTTATCGTGATAATTTTTCCATGTCAATAAATCTGATAATAAAAAATGAACAGATGTGTGTAGGTTGGCAACGTTCATGTCCCTTTACAGAGGCTGTACCACCCTGAGTCACATAAACAACACGCGTACGACGTACCAACACAAAGGGGGCTGGTCTTTGTTTTACTGCCCGTTTCCTTCCGGTGGCGGATGTTATCAAGAACAAGCATTACACGGTTTCTATGGTAACCAGATGTTGGAGAACGAAGGGAAAAAACAGAACAACATTTTAGAACGTGAGCCCGGTATCTGAGCTCTTCAGAACCACCAGGACCTCCAGTGAAAACAGGAGAAACTGTTTCGTTTATTTAGAAAATCAGCTCCTTCACAAAAACCTAAAACAACTTAAAAAGACGCCCGAGTGCGTCCATCCTGCTGGTTTCTGGGTCTCAGGTCCAAACCAGATGGTTCTGAAGCCGGTGTTCTTCCTACTTCAGCATTAATGAACTAAAGGTGACAGAACGTTCCTCAGAGTCTGAACTGGACCAGGGTTTCTGTCCGGTGGGCTTTAGATCTCTTCATGATGTAATGCTGTATAAGATCATTCAACGTCGACCATCTCCACATCACCATGGCAACCAGACACCATCTTCTTCTTCTTGGCTGATGAGGAGGAGTCCTGGTCCTTTCTGCGTGGTTCTGCTGAGGCTCCAACTGAGGATAAAACAGAACAAAAGGTTCTGGTGAGCGGCACCACCATCAGACCAACAGAAGCTGATGTGAGCGAACACCGGTACCGACAACAACGCGAACCCACAGCTATCGCCATGATTAAGACAAAAGTTCTGTTCTGATCTCAGAACCTTCTGGATCGGCGCCTCTAAGGCCGAGGTTTGTTGGTATAATGAAGTCCGACTCTGTCCTGAAACGGAGGACTCGCGTCAAAAAGAGCAGGTCGTATAGGGGCTCAAGCAGGTCGGTTCTGTCCAGCACATCACAACAGAACCACGACCAATCGGGTCTTTTACCTTCCATAGACAACTTCTCTTTCTCCAGGTGCTGCAGCTGCTTGATCAACTTCCGCTTCTTCTTGCCTGACAAAGTGATGTTTGCTCTGGGACTGGACCTACAGGCGGGGGGAAAGGGGGCAGGTGAGGATGGCTGGAAACATGAGACAAGCGGGCAGGTGAGACAGGAGCTGACCTCCTCTTCTTCAGGTGATGGACAGTGGTGAGTCCCTGGTCGATGACGGCGCCAACAATTTGATGCTTCTTCCTCTTCTGCCGACTCTCAACACGTCGCCGTTTGAAGAGTTTTTTCCCCAGCTCCTGAAAAGTCAGAGGTCATCAGGTGAACACCACCTGTCCGTTAAGTTTACGGAACCACCAGGCATGACCTCAGGACCACGTCATCATCAGCAGACTAAAACTAGAGCTGCAGATGAGATCAGATGGGCTGAAACTGAAAAATCGGATGTTTTTCTCCATGAACTCGTCATCTTTAGAGGTTGAAGGTTACAATAATATCTCACTGCTTTTATGCGTTTACCTGTAATTACTCTCATTTTTCCTTTCCCCAAGTGTCTGTGCCGCAGTAACAGGTCTATTCATCACTGGCGCTAGTTAGCTTTAGCACAACATCCACTCGGAAGTTTCACTCCCAGAATCAGACTTTTCATCTAAAATAGAGGTTTTTTAAAACAAGAGTTGTGTTGTGATCTCAGGTGAGGGGGTGACGTAGCGTGTCAGGAACAAACCGCACCAGCAGGACTGAACTAGTTAAAGACCGCAGAACGGGACACTTATAAACCTAACAATGTCTAAATAAAACCTCCAGAAAAACTAAAAACTAACAGAGTTTGTCATCTTTTAAATCAACGATTTTCTTACCGTTTTGGGTCTGTTTATTTTGCCTCCCGGCGGCGCCATGTTGCCTTTGGCCTCAGCACATGGACCGACCTCTTCTACTTCCGGGTTAAAGACGCCTGGCTGCAGCAGGCCGAAGGGGGCGCTGTCGGGCCAGTTGTCAGACCCATATGAACCACGGCTGTTACTAGTTTACAGTTGTTAAAACTCTGTTCTGTGGCCAAATTAAGAGAGATAAATATAATTTACTACAGTGAAGGTCTGAACTTATATATCCCATAATGAAAATGTTCCTTTAAGCGAATTTGCTGATGGCTGTACCAGACTCACATTAGTATATTACCTCTGGTGGTCCAGTGTGCACACACACACACACACACACACACACACACACACACACACACACACACACACACACACACACACACACACACACACACACACACACACACACACACACACATATATATACGTATATATATATATATATACATATACATATACGTATATATATATATATATATATATATATATATACATATACGTATATATATATATATATATATATATACATATACATATACGTAAATATATATACAGGCTGCATGGTGGTGCAGTGGTTAGCACTGTTGCCTCGCAGCACAAAGGTTGCAGGTTCGAAACTCAGCTGTGGCCTTTCTGCGTGGAGTTGCGTGTTCTCCCCATGCATGTGTGGGTTTCCTCCGGGTACTCCGGTTTCCCCCACGGATCACAACATGCCCTACAGGTTATAAACTGTAAGTCACTTTGGATAAAAGCGTCTGCCAAATAAATAAACGTGTGTATATATATGTGTATATACACATATATACATAAATATGTATATATTTATATATATATATATGTCTTTAGTTCAACCATTTTCTAATAAAATATTGTTTGTCTAATTCCTACCTGATCTTGTGGAGTGATACTTTATGTCGTGGTTTAGGCTTCTACCACACAACATGACAATTTTATGCTGTATGCTCTTACACGTTATGCCTTTAATAGCTGCTTGCCTGACTGCTGCTGCTAGGTGAGGGGGAGAGAGGGCTGACGTTTGGTCGTTTGTCCTGTTGAACAGTAAAATGTTTTCACCAGAAATGATAAACCAAACTTATGTAAAGTTGCAAATGAGACCGTCCAGTTAACCGTTGAAAGCCCTTTCTGCATCGAGGTGAGAGAGTAGTTTGTCATGTTGTGTGGTCGAAGCCTAACCCACAACTTTCAGGTGAGGGTGAAAACAATTATTATGGTTGTAGGGTTTGGTAAATTGAGTGCTTCAAGAGCTCATCGTATATATTACCTCTACTTATGATCAATGAGCTGTGATACTCTATCTAAATATAGAATATGACCCTGCTGGTGGTGGTCGGAGGGACCGGTGGCGCCTGTGCTCGGCAGCCTCGCCTCTGTCAGTGCGCCCCAGGGCAGCTGTGGCTACATCGTAGCTCATCACCATCGGTGTGTGTGAATGGATGAATGATACACTGTAGTGTAAAACGCTTTGGAGTCCTTACTCTGAGAGGCGCTATACAAGTGCAGGTCATTTATCATTCATGTGTTTATCAGAAGGATTCTTTATTTATTCAGGGATTGTAAACACTTTGTTTTGATTCAGAAAACATTCAGGTTTATACAAATAAGAATTTATTTTACCAACAATTAAAACATGACAGGTTAACTAACATTTACTGTGATGGATGGAACTAGATGTGATGTATGAACCTAGGTGTGAATGATGTTGGTCAGAACTTCCGTATCTAGGAGAGCCGAGTTCTGGATGTAAAAGAATTTGGTTTGTGTTAAGCTATGAAGTTGATTATTATCAAAACACATCAGACGCTATCTGTGTGTCTACTTCACCCGTTCTCGGAGACCCTCTTTGTGGGTCTGAAGGTCAGAGAGGTCGGATGACCTCTGGCACCGAGGGCCGTAGAATCCCGAAGTACCGACTCTTCAGTCCAGAGATGTCTCGGGTCACGACAGACGGATGGAACCGCGCGTCTGGGTCTCTGAAGGAGTCTGAACAATATCAGCTTGTTCTGCAGGAACTGTTGCTGTGTCAGCTTCGCAGGTGCAAAAAGGTTTTGACGACGTGTCAAAAGCTTTGATGGTTAAAGAGGGTTTTGCTTCAGATGGCCGGTCTGAAGCTTTCTCTAGAACTGCTGACTCACCCAGAGTGATCCAGTTTTAATGTTCTCATGTTATGATTGTGTAGCCAACCAGAGGCTGACATGTTGAGGAATTCTACCAAGAATCTCAGAAACACGCCGTCCTTGATACCGGAGACTCTGATCTGGATAAAGGCTATCTATGTGTCACGGGTTCAACTTTACTTTACTTTGTTCTTGTGTGAGTGTAAATGGTGATGACCTTGTCACGTAAACATGCTGAAACATATATCTATCACTGTAATCATAACATGACCTTCATTTCACACTTCAATCATTGAGCACAGATTAATGAAACATTTAATTATATTATAATTATTATAAGTAGCAATAAACAAACATTTATTTAATGATTATCTAGCTTATAAGTTGTAGAAGTTCATATCTGATTTAGGAAATCATTCTTTGATTTAGCACCTGATCCGAGCTGCGAGTGTTCCTTATTCAGAGGCATGAAGAGTCCTGTAGGACGATAAGGATGGGCCTTGAGGAGAGAACATCATTGTTAACATTTCGTTATCATGTGTTCAGAGCTGCAGAGAGGCTCTGAGCTCCAGCTGGTGGGATGAAGGCAGGCTGATTTAAAGGGAACACGTGCAGTCTCGTGTCTCCTTCATGACCAGATGTTGAAGGGTCAAACTGACCATTGCTGGACGTTACACGGTAAAAGGTAAACAAAAGGTACAGCAGGAAATTGGGCTGGTACTCCTGGAGAGGGGATTCAGGCGAGGAGATCTGAGACCAGAGGGGGTTAGTTCTGGATCTTAATGACCAGGAGCCTCGTTTATAACTGGACATAGTCTGATGGGTTTATCTGTGGTGAGTACAAAGTTTTGTAAAAGTCTCTGAAAGTGTTGTTTATTCTTTCAGGGTCATGTTCTATATTCCCAGCAGATGTGCTCGTTTTCTCTTTATTTTTACTGGTTAGCTAAAAATTAGCCTGATTTATGTTCATTTATGTTGCCGTCTTGGTGCTAAAATGTTGTTTTATTGTCACTAATTCTATGAAGTTCTAGTTTAGCTTTACGTGTTTCTTCCTCTGGGGAAGTCCTCTACAGACCTCTAATCATCTCCTAACTCCTGAATACGTTTCTGTCTGATGTGATGAGAAAGATTATTTTAGCTCTCATCACTGCTTTTATTATTATTATTATTGCTTTTGGACACAGATTTTATAACAGTGTCTCACGGTCTGATTATTGTTGTGCTGTTCTTTCCTTTTGATCATCGTTGCATCTTTGCTCATCACTGTGGTCCGCTGTCATGCTGTTCTATAATGTGTTATAAACCTGCTGGTATACTGCTTTTGTTATTAGCTCATACTTGTGAAAACACAGAAAGTATTTCATGGTTGTTAAACTTTGGTTTCCTGTCACAACACCGCAATCCACAGAAGCTGAAACTGCAGTAACCAGATCTGACCACAGGATGTCACTGTTACTCACTTCTTATGTGTTCCTGGCTGGAAACAGACAGCTGAAATCTTTGAGACAGCTTTCTGGTCTCAGAGATCGATAGGTGGATTGGTGCTGCATCTGCAGTGATGCGGGCGTTGTACCGGTCTGTCGTGGTGAAGAGAGAGCTGAGTCAGAAGGTGAAGCTCTCGATTTACCGGTCGATCTACGTTCCTACCCTCACCTATGGTCATGAGCTTTGGGTAGTGACCGAAAGAACGAGATCGCGGATACAAGCATGACATGAGTTTTCTCTGCAGGGTGTCTGGGCTCTCCCTTAGAGATAGGGTGAGAAGCTCGGTCATCCGGGAGGGGCTCGGAGTAGACCCGCTGCTCCTCCACATCGAGAGGAGCCAGTGGAGGTGGCTCGGGCATCTGGTCAGGATGCCTCCTGGACGCCTCCCTGGTGAGGTTTTCTGGGCACGTCCAACCGGGAGGAGACCTAAAGGTAGACCCAGGACACGGGGGAGGGACTATGTCTCTCACCTGGCCAGGGAACGCCTTGGGATTCCCCCGGAGGAGCTGGCCCAAGTGGCTGGGGAGAGGGAAGTCTGGGCCTCTCTGCTAGGCTGCTGCCCCCGTGACCCGACTCCGGATAAGAGGAGGAGGATGGATGAAATAGTTGCTCATTATTTAAGCTGCATGAAAATATATTTGCTTATTCTTGAAGTGATGGCATCCACATGTTTTACCTCAGCACATCTGGACCTCAGAAACAGCTGGTTCAACATCAGCTGAGACCGTTAGTGCCAGAAATCTGGACGTTCTGAACTTCGGTGAAAACAAAGAGTTTTGGATCAGAACCAATGACAGAAACGGAGATCTGGATACGACAAATATTTAATTTATTCAGTACAGATCGTTCGTGTCAGTGCAAGAGCCAAAGACGAGCAACGAGTTGTTGTTTTATGTACAGATCTGAACTTTGGCAGCGAGAAGCAGAGCAGGATATGGACTCAGAAGACTTAACAAACAAAATATAAAATAAACAAACACAAACAGCTTCAAGGAGAACAGGAGACATCAAAACAAAGAGGAGCAGGACAGAAGTTTTCTTCATCAATAGTTTAGATATTTAGATTCATATCTAAAGTGCATTATGGTACAAAAATATAGACGTCAGCAGCACCTCCACGTTTACAAATAAATACTTTTAGACAAAATAAATAACCAAACTAAACCAAACAGAAGAGGAAAAAGGAAATATATCAAATATCTGATATATTCAGAATATTTACAAGCAATAAATATTTATATTTATCCAACTATCAGCTGGGCCCGTCCAGAGGGTTCTGTCCAAAAAGGTTCTGTCCAAAAAGGTTCTACAACACAGAGAGAAAAACAGGCAGGTGAGTGAGACGACCCGTCCAGCTGGACCCAGACACCTGAGACAGGTGAGCTCGTCCGAGACCAGGTGACACTCACCTTTGTCAGAGACTGACGGCGTTTCACTACGAGCCGAGCAGAGACCTCCACCTCCGGTGGAGTCCACTTCCGGTTTTCTCCTCCAGCCGGGTTCTTAAGGAGCGTGCCCGCCTCTTCCTCTTCTCCCCCTCCCTCCTCTTCCCGCTCCTTGCCTTCTTCTTCCTCCTGCCCGGACTCTTCATCATGCTGTCGTTGTACTTGACGGTCTCCTCCTCCTCCAGCTGCGCGCTGATGGGGAGGTTCTTGATTCCACCTGGCCTTTTGGACTGCAGGGTGGTGCCAGTGGTGCTCGGGTTGGCTCCCAACAGGCCGCTGCCCCCGCCGGTCTCCAGGTGGTGGGCCTCAGCCGTGTGGATGACCCCCAGGAGCTCCTGGAGCCACATGCGTCGTCTGAAGTCCTGCAGAGTTCGGCTCTTGTCGTGCATCAGCTGGGTGTGACTCACAGAGCGCCTCCTGCAGGACACACAAGATCGTGCTTTTACTTTGAAAAGATCTCAGACCTTTACTTTGAAAAAGACAAGACACAAATAGGTACACTTGTATTATAAACTTAAAACAATGAAGGGAAATGAACATGTCTAGAATGACGTGGTGTTCTAGTTACACAAGGCACAGTCAGACCTCCGCAGAACATCTCCTACCTGGGGCTCAGAGATTACGTTCAACAACGGATCGGTTCAGGTTTAACCCTGCATTTAAATTTTGGTGTAAACAATATAAAACAACATTAGGACTTCCTGAATAAATGTGCAGAAAAGGAAACAAACATTTAAAACAGGAAAATGTTCGGGACACGCTTCACCCGGACTGATTTATGTCGTTTAAACTGAAATAAAAGTAGCTGGATGCATTTTCCACCACCAGGGGGCAGCACAAACAGAAGAACGAGACCCATCAGAACTCCTGCATCAGCAGGAGAACACCTCCTGCCACCTGCAGCCCGACCAGATTGGTGTCTAAAACTTTACAAACATTTCTGACCAGTTGTTTGTTTTTGCTCTGCGGGCCTGAGGAACGTGGAGGAGTCACCGACAGCGACACCGTGTGACCACCAGCAGCCCTACACAAACACCCGTGGCATCATCAGAACCAGAACCAGACTCAGCAGGACCGCCGTTAGAAGCTCTGTGTCCTCCTGTTATCACAGAACCATCCAAACGGGCCACCGCCTGCACAGAACCACGCAAAACCCTGAAGCTCTGGACCCAGCTGCCCTCCCTGATGAAGCTGCTTAAGTTTGGTTTCGGCTCGGCGTGAGTCAGCAGAACCAGCTGTGATTCTGACCCGGCAGGACGAGCTTTGCTGTGCTGCAGGGTCTTGTTACTCAGAACTTTAAACAAACACGACCCGATGCCTGGGAAACTCCTCTTCCTCCCTGCAGAGCTCTGATGAAGCCCTGAGGCCCAGGCCCGGTTCTGCTGCTTAATGTGCCGAGTAGTAAAAGTTCAGAAAGCAGTCGGACCCCCGGGACCGGCTTCTGTTTATATGCATACAGAGACTTCCTGTAAACCGGATCCAGCTGAGGTTCTACCTTCATAACCCTCACATCAAATACCAGAACCTGACCCGATTCTGGCTGGTTCTCTGTGACCCAACCAGTCGAAGCTTTCAGACATTAATGACAGCAGGTTCTGGCTCCCCTCCCAACCACCAGAAAGATGTGCGGCATTAGTCCGCCAGACCCGATCCACCACCAGACCCGATCCACCACCAGACCCGATCCACCGCCATCTCTTTATGAGCTGAACAGAACTGGACCAGAAACCAGCAAACAGAACCAAACTCTTTCCATAGAACCGATCTTGTTACTCCTTTGAGTTCCAGAACCGAATGTGGAGAAACACCTAGAGCGTGTTGGAGGTCAGTTCTGGTACAGTTCCTCTTGACCCTCCACCAGACAGAACGGGCTTGTTTAGGTTCTGGTCCGGTCCAGTCTCACTTGAGGCAGGTGAAGACTTACGTTCTGCTGCTTATGGCGTCCAGAGGACGTCCGTCATGAGGGACTGGAGAGCAGAGCAGGACCACGGCAAAGAACCAGTTCTGCAGGGTTCTGCTGGAGAACAACATGGTTCTGTAAGAAAACACAGAACAAAGTGAGAACGATGCATAGAGGCGCTCGATCAGAACCACCTACAGAACCTCCAACTCACAGAGACATCTGTCTGCCAAAAACAAAATATTTCCTCTCAGTGAGAAAGTCCAGGAGACTCCGTCAGCAAGGTCAAATCACAGACCTCAGGTCCGGTCCAGAACCTCCTGGAAAAGTCAAAAGGGTCAGAGGTTCTGCAGGCGTCCTGCGGCTTCAGCTGCTGCAGGTCCATCTGAAGCAGCACCGGCTGCACGTTGCAGCAGGTCAGACTGCTGGGAAGGGAGGGAATGTTCAGAGGGGTGGGCCTCCACCCACTGGGAGGAGGAGGTCCATTAGAAGTCAGGATTCAGACTAATGAAGTGGAGACCCAGAACCTTGTAGAATGCCTGTGTTCTGATCTCACCTGGAACTGTTTGGATCCAGAATTCAAAATTCAAAGAGACTTTATTAATCCCAGAGGGAAATTAGAGCACCTGCCCCGGTTCTGATGAGTGAAGCTCTAATGTGAAACGGGACCTGAAACCTTCAGAACTCTTCACCCCAGTGTTCTCCATTACGTTAAAACATCTTGAGTCAGACCCGATCAGGCCCGGTTCTGGTGGAGTCTGACCGATTTTACTGGATCTTAAACAGGATGAGTCACTTTCATTTGTTTTCCTCCTAAAACCCACGAAGTAAAGAAATTAATGTTAGCTTCCTGGAGGCGTCTCACAGCTGGAACTGGTTCAAACGGATCAGAACCAGAACCATTCAGAACCAGTTCCATCTGTCTGCTGTGCAGCAGAGAAAAAAACAACCTTCTGGACCTTCAGTGTCTGCAGAACAAAACAAACCTGATGAACGTCCATGGAGACGGAGCTCCTTCACAACAACAGGAATCTTTGTTTCTTTATTCAGAAGCTTTAATCCAAAACCAAACAGCCTGTAGAAAACCTGTGCACGCATGTGGAGAACATGCTAACTGTTAGCATCACACTACGCACGCATGTGGAGAACATGCTAACTGTTAGCATCACACTACGCACGCATGTGGAGAACATGCTAACTGTTAGCATCACACTACGCACGCATGTGGAGAACATGCTAACTGTTAGCATCACACTACGCACGCATGTGGAGAACATGCTAACTGTTAGCATCACACTACGCACGCATGTGGAGAACATGCTAACTGTTAGCATCACACTACGCACGCATGTGGAGAACATGCTAACTGTTAGCATCACACTACGCACGCATGTGGAGAACATGCTAACTGTTAGCATCACACTACGCACGCATGTGGAGAACATGCTAACTGTTAGCATCACACTACGCACGCATGTGGAGAACATGCTAACTGTTAGCATCAAACTACGCATGCACGTGGAGAACGTGCTAACTGTTAGCATCACACTACGCACGCATGTGGAGAACATGCTAACTGTTAGCATCACACTACGCACGCATGTGGAGAACATGCTAACTGTTAGCATCACACTACGCACGCATGTGGAGAACATGCTAACTGTTAGCATCACACTACGCACGCATGTGGAGAACATGCTAACTGTTAGCATCACACTACGCACGCATGTGGAGAACGTGCTAACTGTTAGCATCACACTACGCACGCATGTGGAGAACGTGCTAACTGTTAGCATCACACTACGCATGCACGTGGAGAACGTGCTAACTGTTAGCATCACACTACGCACGCATGTGGAGAACATGCTAACTGTTAGCATCAAACTACGCATGCACGTGGAGAACGTGCTAACTGTTAGCATCACACTACGCACGCATGTGGAGAACATGCTAACTGTTAGCATCACACTACGCATGCACGTGGAGAACATGCTAACTGTTAGCATCACACTATGCACGCATGTGGAGAACATGCTTTCTCAGTCCTAGCACCGTTACTCTGGAACCAGTTGCCACCCTCAGTCAGGCTGTCCCCTTCTCTGCCAGTCTTTAAGAATCACCTAAAAACACACCTCCTCCGCTTGGCGTTTCCAGAACATGTTTGATTATGGCCCTCTATTATGTTGAATCCATTCCACAGTTTTCATTGGTACACTCAATCCATCCACTCAATACAATTGTGTTTCACACATTTGGATTTTTACCGGAATGTTTCATCTATTTTGTTATTTCCATTTTGTATTTTGTAATTTGTATTTTGTAATTTGTATTTTGTAATTTGAATTTCTTTTATTGTTGATTTATTCAGTATAATTACTTACAACTGTACCATGTTCAGCTCTTTGGGCTTCCTGACAGGGTTGCGGAAGGCGCTTTATAAATAAAGCTTTGATTGATTGAATGATTGATGCTAACTGTTAGCATCAAACTACACACGCACGTGGAGAACATGCTGTTAGCATCAAACTACACACGCATGTGGAGAACGTGCTAACTGTTAGCATCAAACTACACACGCATGTGGAGAAAATGCTAACTGTTAGCATCAAACTACGCATGCACGTGGAGAACGTGCTAACTGTTAGCATCAAACTACACACGCATGTGGAGAACATGCTAACTGTTAGCATCACACTACGCACGCATGTGGAGAACATGCTAACTGTTAGCATCAAACTACGCACGCATGTGGAGAACATGCTAACTGTTAGCGTCACACTACGCACGCATGAGGAGAACATGCTAACTGTTAGCATCAAACTACGCACGCATGTGGAGAACATGCTAATTGTTAAGGTCACACTACGCACGCACGTGGAGAACATGCTAACTGTTAGCATCAAACTACACACGCATGTGGAGAACATGCTAACTGTTAGCATCACACTACGCACGCACGTGGAGAACATGCTAACTGTTAGCATCAAACTACAAACGCATGTGGAGAACATGCTAACTGTTAGCATCAAACTACACACGCATGTGGAACATGCTAACCCTTGATGCTAACGCCACACAGAAAGGCTGCAGCTAGCTGTAAGCCTCTTGGTTTGAGAAAACCAGCTATACCACCACACAGCTGCTAGAAACTCCACGGGAATTTAATATACTTCCACTTGTAACATTACAGCTACAGCCACGCCCCCAGAGCTATTACCACTCCCCTGCAGCTACAGCCACGCCCCTACAGTCCGAGCCACAGCCCTGCAGACACATTTTTTTTGTAATTAAACCCATTTTTGAGTCTGACTCTGGCTGATTGTTATAGTTGTTATTATGAAGCTTTCTGACTGTATTTCCACCCTTCTGGATGTTTCTGCTCGACTTCAACTTGGACTTCAGGACTTGGTTCTGCAGTTTAATCAAACGTTTCTCAGGGTGTTTAATTTACTGTCAGATCTGATGAAGGAAAGCAGCTGCACAGCTGCGTAGAGGAGTTCTGATAAGCTGCTCAGACAGGTAAAGCCTGAGAGCAGGTGGTCAGGTGTCCACCTGCCAGGTTCCTTAGATTTTATGAATAAAATGAACAAAAATAAATAAATAAAATAAAACATGAACATGTCACAAGCTGCCGTTCTGAAGAGTTCTTAATAAAGAATTTATCTTTTATCAGGTAAACCCAAGTCCCCACAATGCGGCTCAAAAACTGAAGCAATCCTGAAAGAACCAAAAATTGCAGTTCCACCCTCGTCCACTAGGGGCTGGTGTCAGAAACGAGCAAATCCTCACTAACTCCCATGTTAAAAATACCAATTTGACAGCAGAAATAAACATGTTTACAGCCTGGTACCAGAACATGTTTTAGGTTTAAATGATCTAGTTTACACTCATGACAACTCTGAGGGGGGTGAATGTTTTTCTCACTCTTCTGTTTAAGTGTATTAAAAGCCTAAAATTCTGTATAATTAATGAGCATCAGACCCACGTGACCACAGAGCTAGCTCCGGGGAAAGGCCTCAGTAGAGCCTCGGTCTGGCCTGGAAACTGCTCCGGGATTTTGAGTCTCTGTGTGTGTGTATTCTTGTTTGGATATTATTTGTGCAACTGTTGGACAAAATGACTTGCTGTGGCATTAATTGCACTAATAGAGCGTCCAAGGAGTCTCCACTTCATTTTTTTCTGTAAGTAAAATTATATTTATGTATTTTAGGTCACTGCCGAGCTGAGCTTAGATTTTAACATGTACTGTTTAACCATGACATTTAAATGTAATAGGGTAAAACCCAGTGCATTTAACATAATGCTGCACTTTAGAAAATGGGTTGAAATATAACATGTTGGTGGAGCTGGGTTCCCACTATCGGCTTGTGGAGCTCTCCGAGACCTCTGTGTTCCACCCGGTTCTTCCCAGCGGTCAGCCCGGCGTATCTCTGACTCAGAAGCTCTGGTGTTGTGCACAGTTAACTCCGGTTGTAGCTAGGTTGCTACCTCTGTTAGCTTAGCTCCCACCTCCGCGTTAGCTTTGGGTTAGCTTCAAGTTAGCTTGTAGCTAGTTCGACTGGGTGTCGTCAGTTGATCCCAGCCTTACAGCCCCACCTTCAGCTCCACCTCTCTTCCCTTTTTTGGAATTGTCTGGGCTTGACGGAACCTGTGACACGGTCAAAATGGCGGTGGTGGCCACCTCCCATTTAGCCTCAAAAACGTGTTATTGGAGCCTATGGAAAGGAATTGTCCAATATTTATATGTCGATGGGTAAATATCACCCCAGGTTTGTCTTTAAGGCATTTTGGCTTGCTTTTAGCACCCACTAGTGTCTGTTTGTGGAACAAAAACCTATGTTGTGGGTATGTTCACCTTTTTAATACCTTAACCTAACAGCTGAAAGTCTCCCAGCCTTCATTACTGTCTAGAGGGGTGGTTCATCACCAAATTAAATAAATCAGCCGTGTTCTTGATCCAAAACATGCTGGAAGCAGACTGCAGGGCCAGGTATGAAGAAGAAGAAGAAAATATAGTTTCTATTGCGCCTCTCAAGATAAAATCACGAGGCGCTTCACACAAACAAAAAATTTAAAAATCTAAAAAAGAATTTAGAAAATGGTTAAAAATATATTTAAAATGAGCAAAATAAAAA